TTGGTACTGAACAGTAAGGGATAGAGGTTTCAAAACCTCTATAATTTATCACTATTATCGAGACATGCAAACCAGTAGCTATATTCAATGTTGTTGACTGATCTGCAACCACCTTCAAGTTTCATGACTTAAATTACTCGAAAGAAAGTCTTCAGACTCAAAATATTACAGGAAAATCATAAAGTAAATGCAGTCTTTCATAAGACAGTGGGTTAAGACGGAAAAAACTTTAGACAGAAAAGCTTGTTTAATGTAAGCTCAAGTTTAAATGTACAACTCTGAACAGCTGAGAAATATTTTAAAGACTTACACATTCGGAGGCTTTGCGATATATAATGGCAGACATGAAACAGTTCGACATCGCTATTTTCCATAGAAATTAGAGAAGATTAATTGGTCAGTGTGAAGATGGAAGGTAATGAACTTTGAAGTTTCCACAGCAAAATAAAAACTTCGCTTCTTTTTCTTCCTGAGACAGGAAAGCCTCTCCAGGCAACCAAGAATGCAACCACGCTCGCCAGGAAAAAAAAGCACAAAGCTGGTCCTTTATTCCCTTAGTCCTGATTGTCTCAGAGCTGTCGTTAAAAATTGCCAACAGCAAATAAAAAGTTATCAAATCGAAGGCAAATCCTGAACAAATATGGTAGCGAAACATATTTCGGTTTCCGTGTTATTTTCGTGTTTTGCGCATGCTTGTTACGGTTCTCAAATGATTGACAGATTTCTTTACTAGGGCGATCATAGAACCAGAAAAGCGGAGAGATCNAGCGAAACATATTTCGGTTTCCGTGTTATTTTCGTGTTTTGCGCATGCTTGTTACGGTTCTCAAATGATTGACAGATTTCTTTACTAGGGCGATCATAGAACCAGAAAAGCGGCGAGATCAAAAGTAGCTGCCAGCCCCCCCCCCCGGATGGAAATAAACAACACTTGGATTTGCGAGTGTGCGCGTCTGTTCAGATTGAAAAATCCTCATAAATTGTTTGCGACTGTTTACTTAAGCGGCATAAGTACACAGAACTGGAGATGTTTTTGTTTTGTTTGTGGAACAAACTGAGCTCATATTCTTCATAATGTGGTTCAGTGTATTCTAACTCTCTGCATATGAAACTGGGTCTGAGCTGAACTTGAGCAAGTGAAGCTGCTTGAAAGCCTTTTGCAAACTTTAGGTGAGTAAGATTTTAGTAACATATTTCTTGTAGATAAAATGTTATCCCCTTAATTGGTGATCGATGACTGCAAACTGGCACGTATTTACAAACAACTTATTAGCACATATTTACAAATTTATCGCTTGTAAGTTACATGACAGTTTGTTCGTATCAGTCACTAAAAGAAAATTGTGCTAATGCTGCCGAACTGCCATTCAATGCGTTGCAAAATTTCGTGTACTGCCTAGCGAACTATTGTTTGTGCTCACGAATTTCTTTAGCTTAACAAAACTTTGAAGAAAAATTGCCCTTTGTTCAAGCGAATTATTGCTCGATACGCCATGAAA